TCCCTGCTCATGGCAGAGGGGTTGGAACTGGGGGATCCTTGTGGTCCCTTCCAGCCCTGACAGATTCTGATCTGTTTTAGCAGAGGACTTTAGAGCCCTCATGGCTCAATGGTTGGACTGGATGATCTTGGAGGTCCCTTCCAACCTAAAGGATTCTATGATTCCTCAGGCTGGCAGGCAGTACAGGCAGCTTGCACAGGAGTCTGAGTGGGTGAGGCCCAGGGAAGCTGGGCTCATTTAGGAAGAAGGTGTCTGTGAGAAGGACCATCAGCATGACAGGGATGCTGGCTGTGGTGTTTGAGAGCTGTGATGGGTTCTGTAGCAAGCACTCCACTCTGTCTGCTGCTTTCTGTCCATCCCCAACTGGTGTGACTGGGTTTGCTTTTTGGTTGACCCTTTATAGGCAGCACAGAATAGAAATCTTGATCTTGATTCACTTTCCATTAGATCCTGCACTGTGGTGCTCCAGAAGAGAGCCTTGGGTTGATTCAGGGGTTGTTTAGAGGGCTAACAACAGCCCCTGGCTCATCATGGCCAGCCCTGTGCTCTTCTGCTGCTTCCAAAAAGAGTTTTGGAAGGAGATCAGGAAGGCTCCCCAGTAAGAAGAGGGAGCTGTGCTGGCCAGCTGTACAGCAGCCTAGCTGGCTGGTGGAGCCAGGCTGTTCCATGCCATCAGAGGACAGCCCCAGCTCCCAGGACAGGCTGGCTCAGCTGCAGAGTTGACTTTCCTCCCTCCACCCCCTCTGCTAACTGTTCATGGCACACATTGATTCACGTGGGCCGGAAGAAGGGCAGTGGTATGGAAACCACAGGCAGCTGGCAAACGTTCAGGTCTTTTAGATGGAACCAGTTCAGAGTCATCAGCAGCATATCAGGGTTCCTAAATGCCAGTGGGGACCTGCAGAACTCCAGCATAACAGTCCCGTGCTGGGTGGCAGAGCCTGAGCTACATCAGGGGGGTTCTGCAGAAGATTTCTGATGAGCTTTGGGTTCCAAACGTGCATTTGATAAGGTCAGGGAGAGAAATACAGCTGCTGATACCCTGCTGCTGCAGCTGGAAGGGAAGTCTAGCCCACTTGGTGCCTTTCAGATAACTATATTAGCTTATGAATTTTCACAGAATTTATGGTTCTTCTCCCCTGACACACAGACAGATAAGTGACCTGATGAGCAGGAGCTTTTGCTTGCCTCCAGAAGAGGAGGAGAGCCCTGGAGGGTTTGAACAGGGAGTCAGTAGGGAGCTACTGGAGGTGCCTGGAGCTACTGGGGGTGTCTCAGGGGCCACTGGAGGTGCCTGGAGCTACTGGAGGTGTCTCAGGAGCCACTGGAGGTGTCAGCAGGGTGACAAGTGACCCTGCACTTGTGCCAGCAGCCCTGGTACTTCTGTTTAACCCTGTGTACCTCCACCCCTTGTACAACTTTGGGACTCCCTCAAAGGGAGTCCCATGATGTATATATATATTTTATGAGGGTGGTTTTTTTTGATAAGTCACTGACACTTCCTCATGCTGCCTTTCTTCCTTTTGAAATGCATTCCTGTAATGACTCTGCTCCTTTCCCTTCTTGAAGCATGATATAAGTTTGGACTATTTGCCATCTGGGTTATTTTACAGCGACAGGATTGTGCAAAATCCTATTTGTGGCTCGTGTACCATGATGTGTATATATATATTTTATGAGGGTGTTTTTTTTTTGATAAGTCACTGACACTTCCTCATGCTGCCTTTCTTCCTTTTGAAATGCATTCCTGTAATGACTCTGCTCCTTTCCCTTCTTGAAGCATGATATAAGTTTGGACTATTTGCCATCTGGGTTATTTTACAGCGACAGGATTGTGCAAAATCCTATTTGTGGCTCGTGTATCCTGCAGGTATTTTGTACATTATCATGATTTTCTGATCAGGAGCACAGTTATATTTGTGTAGTCAATCAAGTGTGATAGACTGGATTAAGTGCTAAACACTGTGGGCATGGTCCACCCAGAATTAACTCCTGTGCTTACCAAGCAGGTTTCTGAAATGGTGAAATAAAGGAAAACTTGTGTTACAACCCACCTTGCACTCTGGAGGAGAAGAGCAGTGGGGAAGTGTGATAACAGCTTCTGGTCATGGCTGGGCGTGGTCCTTTTTGCTTTGTTTTTTGTATTTCATGTGTTGTTCATCTTGATTAGTGCTGGAAATGACTGAATTAGTCACTCTTCTCCCTTGCCCACACAAATGTAAATACGGATTTGCTGTGTGAAAAGGCCAGAGGAACAAGGAGAAAGGATGGAGGAAAGGACCCCAGTGCTCCAGGAAGGACCCCAAAAGGTGTGGGTATGAGGCTAGGAAACCAGGATGGGTGGAGGCAGCTGAGAGTGCACTGCTTGGCTTATTCTGAACAATAATCTGTGGGATTCCTGGGGGAATGGCTCCTGGATTAGGGCAGATCTGGTGTTTGCCCATCTAGTCAGCAAGTGGTGTTTGGAGAGAGCTGAGAGAGATGTCTAAAGAACTAGACTGCAGTGTGGGCTGTGTATATTCCCTTCTCTAATCAAAAGGATGTCCTGGTTTACTAAAAGAGAGTGGTAGGTGGCTGTGGCTTGCCAGGAGTCATTTCCAGCCTGAAGCCTGAAGCTGTCTGAGCCACAGGGCTTGCCCCTGAGAGGAGGGAACAGAGACCAACTCCTTTCTTTCACACTGATTCCACCTTTGTTACATATTGGTGCTCACAGCTGCTGCATGGAAGGGTCTGTGGGTCCCTGATGGTGAGCAGAGAAGCCAGCTTTTATTTCATCTCAGCATAACTCCAGTGAGTTGTTTGACATTTGGGGGTTTATTTTGGAGGGGGAAATGGTTGGTTCATTGTGGGCCCTTGAGCTGGCAGCTGTGAGGCTCTGCTTTTTTGGCAAGAAGTGTTGTCTTCTGGAGCAGATTTCAGTGTTCCTTCAGAGAGAGCTCCTGACTCGTACCAAGGCTGCCCCTTCAGGTGGAGGGCTTCTGATTTGGAAGAAATGTTTGACCCTGAGGGTGGTGAGCCTCTGGCCCAGGCTGCCCAGAGAGGTGGTCGCTGCCTCCTCCCTGGCACCATCCCAGGGGAGGTTGGATGGAGCTCTGAGCACCCTGCTCTAGCTGGGGATGTCCCTGCTCCCTGCAGGGGGTTGGACTGGGTGACCCTGAAAGGTCCCTTCAACCCAAACCATTCTGTGATCCCATGATACAGAGCTGCAGGGCAAAGGCACTGTGCCCAAGGAGTAGATTTTCCTCTCCCTGCAGGCTATAAATTAATATCTTAAGGTTTGGTGGGTTTGTGTGAAGCCATATCTCTCTATCAAGAAAATGTTCTCTGGAGGATCTGCTGACAAGTGCCAGATTTTAAATGATCTCTCAGACTGTAGTTAATGTTAAATAGGGATGGAACAAAATAATCAATCAAGAAACAAGATGCTGCTTCTGATCTAGATGGGAATGTTGCCTGCCAAGAAAACAGAAAAGCATCCTTTAAATCAAACCCCATCCAGTTGCACAGCCTGGAGGAACAGCATCATAACACCACATTTGTCATCCTCTGGCTCTTGGCAGAGAGAGCTGAGAGGGACCTTTGGGTTTTGTGAGGCTTCGTTGGTGACGTGGTGTCAGAGACACATCACAGGCTCCAGAACTGTGTGAGGTGGGTGGAAAGTTGGGTTGGGTCTGCACAGGCCCTTGCAGGATGCCTGAGCCCTGCAGGAGGGACAGTGAGGCCAAACTTGCTGGTTCTGGGTGCTCTGTGGTGGAGACACATCCCAGCCAAGTGAGTCACCATCACTGGTGTTACAGCCTCAAGTCCATTCAGATGCCCTCAGGTTGCTGAGGACTTGAAAGCTGAAGTTCCAGGTGCAGGGGTGGTTTTTGAATGTCAGAGTGGAAAGTGTGACTAGAGTTGCTTTGGTTCAGCAGTTGAAGATTTGGGGGTCACAGCCCAGGGGTGTTTCTTTTCAGTACCTCAGTCTCTTGAGCCATTTAAAATGAAGAGTTGAATCAAGCATATTGCACTTGGATTAAAATGCCTCTTGTCATGGAAAACTCTGAGGTTTCAGAATTCAGAGTTTTGGTAGAAGAGATACACTTGAAATAAAGTCTCTTCTCTTTAAGAACCCCAAACCTCCTCTGCTGGAGAACTTTGTTTCAGGGCTGCTGGATGATTATTTTTTACCTGCTATTTAAATTAACATTTTTCATCACAATGGAACATTCAGAATCTTCAAATCTGGTTAATGACAGACCTGTTTAAAAGCACACTTAGATGTTTATCTAACAGTAATTATCAGTAATCAGCAGTCATTTTAACTCTTTCATTCTAAAGGAAATGAAAATCACAACTCTCAAATTTCCTGTGGAACAGGAACTTAGTTTGCTGTCCTGCAACATTTTGGAAGTGGTAAAACAGTGGAAAACTCTTGGGTAGCTTCAGGTTAGGACCTGAAGGAGGATGGTGAAGAGTCTAGAGCACAACTCTTGTGAGGAGCAGCTGGGGGTGCTGATCCTGGAGCAGAGGAGGCTCAGGGGAGACCTTTTCCCTCATTTTGAAGTGTCTTTTCCCTCATTTTTCTGCACTACCCTTTTTCTTCAAGCTCAGACTATTTAGTGGGAGGATTTTTTTTCAGAGAATTCTGTGATTCCATGATTCAGCCCAAGATTTCCTGCTTATGTTCATCATAGGTCTTGCTGTCATCCTCAGAACAAAACCCATCTTTTTGTCCCAAACTCTTAGCATTTGAAGCCTCAGTTTCATTTATGTAGAAAATTGAAGGTCTGGGTTGGGTTATCTCCTGGCACCTGAACTCAGCTGGAGAGTTTGGCCACTGCTTTGTAATTTTCAGAGGGCACAAACACAACTTTGAACCCTCAGCCCAGGCAGCAGCATTTCACTGAACAAACCTAGAAACAAGGAAAAACAAGCACAAAGGGGGGGTTGACATCACTAAATCCTCTCTTTTTTTTTTCCCCCCCTCTTTACCTAGGTTCCTAAAAATTAGCACTATGACTGATGGAGACTATGATTATCTGATCAAACTCCTGGCCCTTGGAGACTCTGGGGTTGGAAAAACAACCTTCCTCTACAGATACACAGACAACAAATTCAATCCCAAATTCATCACCACAGTGGGGATAGATTTTCGGGAAAAACGAGTGGTAAGTTGTCTCAGACAGGTCATACCACCTTCTTTCTGCTTTATGTGTCTCTGCTGAGAGGAAATTTTGTGTCCAGGTGTCCTGTCTCTCTCCCTGCAGTGTTGCTGATGCTTTGGAGGGCTGTGAGAGCACAGTCCCTTTGCTCTAATTTAATGTGATTAATGTGTGTGTGTGTTCATGGATCCTGACAGCTGATACAGGCTAAAGAGAGGGGACAAATCCAGCTTTCCTAGTTTGCTTCAGCAGTAAAACCATAATAAATACAAGATTTTAGACTCTGGGCAATTATTTTAGTCATTTTTTTAATGCAAAGGGATAGAAAATTACCCCTTCATTTATAGAGATTTAAAATGAAGATTAAAAGAGAGCTCTTTCAATGTGCTTCTCTTTAACTTCAATGAAATAATTCAAGAGTTTTACCTCCTTGGGAGTGGTGGCAGTGCAGAGATGGGACAGTGCTGGCACAACTGCTGCTTCTGGACAACTTTTCAGCCTGGAAAGGGCAACACCTTGTACCTGAGAGCTTGAGTGCCAACAAAACTTTATTCACATTCAACAAAACAAAGTGCTTCTCAGCCCTTCATCAGGGCACTGCAAGGCCTTCAAACCACTTACAGTTTTATGGTTAATTATTATTAAAATGTTTTCCAGTTTGAAAGTGGGAAAACACATGGGTTGAAATGCACATCTTGGCAATATAGAGCAAGTTGTCCATGTGTTGTCATTCCACATGCTTTTAAGCTCCTGGTATTTCACCCTGAACACCAGAGCAAGATGGGCATCACTCCCTGGTTCATCTTCCCTGGCAGCATTTGTGGCTGCTGCCATGAGTTCAGTTTTCATAGAATGCTTTGGGTTGGAAGGGACCTTAAAGATCATCTTATTCCAGGCCCCCTGCCATGGGCAGGGACACCTCCCACTAGACAACAAGCTTTGAAATACCCTTAAGTCTATCTAATAATAAAAAAAAAGAAATCTAGAAGGTTAATTTTGTGGCTTTCTGTAATGGAAAAGTCATGTTGGAAAATGACCTTGTGAGATCCCTTGTTGACCCCACTAAATACTCCTGGGATGTGCTCCAGCAAACCAGTTTGATTCACAAATGTGGGGCAGTTGAACTTTCCTGGATTTTTGAAAGAAAAACACATTGGAGTCTGAAGCTACCTGTTGAAATGATGACAGTGTAAATAAATCCACAGAATCCAGGCTGGAATGGACCTCCAGAGGTTGTGTAGTCCAATTAATACTAACTGAGAACTGAATTCTGTGTTTTCCAGCCCAGGGAGGGCAGGGAATCCACACCCATGGCCCTCACACCCATTTTCTCTTGATCTAAATGCAAGGGCAATATTTGCCTGCTTTTAAAATTCCTCTGAGTCTACTAAACTACCTCAGATAACAAAACCTGCTCATAGACTTCTTTTATCCCTCTGTCTCCTACTACAACAGCTAATTTACACCCTGCTGCTGATTAATAAAGAACTGAGCCCCAGCAAAAGGTCACAGTGGTTTCTTTAAGCACCACGAGGTTGCAGTTGCAGTCAGTAAGGAAGTCATTAATGTCCTCCAGAAGTTAATGAAGAAAAAATAGCTTTTTATAACAGTGGTTAATCCTGTCAGCCAGCTGTAAATTTTCCTAAGACCAGCACTGAAACAGAACCCAGACAGCTTGCTCAGCACAGCAGGATGCCAAGGTTTAAAGAATTGGTATCTAATTTGAAGGACTAAATATGACCAAATTATCTTTCAAGTGCAGCTTTTGCAGACGTTTCATGTGGCTCTTGGGGTTTGAAATAGTTTTATAAGCTGCCTTCTGAAGTGGCTTCTAGAGGTAAGTTTAGTCAGCTTTTACTGAAGGACTTTTACTCCTTCCTTACTGCTGGCACAAAATATAACAGCCTGTGACCCCCCCCATGCTGGATTTTGGGGGGAGCTGGGCTCATTTGTCTCTCTTCTTAGGTGTACAACAGCAGAGGACCAAATGGATCTCCAGGAAAAGCCTTCAAGGTGCATCTCCAGCTCTGGGACACAGCTGGCCAGGAAAGGTAAGAGAGTTCAGCTTCTGAGTTTTAATGGGTGCACTCTTAGTCCATGCAGGTGAAAAATACCAGAAATCCTCACATTTTAGGATAGGGAAAACACCTCTATAGCCTACCTGAGTGACTTGTTCTTGTATTTCACATTTTTTCTGTCAGGCTGGCTTGTTTTGGTGAAGATGCAGAGATCTGCACATTGCCCAGGGATGGAGAATTCCAGTTCAGGTCTTAGTGGTGCTGAGTAGGATGGAAGAATTGCTTCTTCCCTCAGTCCTGGTGTTTGGGTTGTGTCCTTTTCACCACAGCTGACAGGGATTCAGTGCATGACTGAGCAGAATGCCCCTCACCACTTGCTGCCCATCTTCTCTGCACACAGTTGCTTGGCCTTCCCAAAGACCTTCTTGACTCATCGCTCATAAACTAGATCCTATGATATTTTTTAAGGGAGAAACATGGGTACTGCTTGCTCAGGCTTCCCCTGGCTAGTCACCTGCACAGGTTTGGGCTATGCTAAAGTGCCTGAGGTTGCCTTCAGCGTGCCCACCATGGCCTGTTGGCCAGGCTGTGTGACTCAGCCCTGTGTGCACTGAAGAGCAGCCTCCTGAACTCCAGCTGGGTGGGGAGGGAGCAGAGTCGTGAGGAAGCAGATTTCAGGTTTCCAGAGTGAGCTGGGGGAGGGCTGAAAAGCAGAAGAAAGCTGAAATTTGTTGTCTGCATCTTTCCCTTACTCTAGCACCACTTGTGTATGCCCCTCTGCAAGTGGTTACACATCTTGAGGATAATTTTTGGGTTATTTTTTCCCCCAAAAAGAAATCCTGAAAGTAGCCTCAGGTATCTGATGTGTACCCATGAAGGAGGTTTTTTGAATTTTCATGGTTTTGTGGTGTAATGTATCAGTTACAGTTTCTGGTACTGGTGGTGTGTGGCAGGTTCTGTGGTGCTGTCCTCTGGTGTGATAGATCCTGGTGGGACAGAAGACCCCAGAGTGTCACTGCACAGTTAGCACTGTCTGAACAGATTCATACCATTTGGACTTTCTTCACATTTCTGATATATAGAATCACAGACAGGGTTGGGTGGGAAGGGACCTTTCAAGGTCATCCAGTCCAACCCCCTGCAGGGAGCAGGGACATCTGCAGCTAGAGCAGGTTGCTCAGAGCTCCATCCAACCTCACCTGGGATGGTTCCAGGGATGGGGCAGTGACCACTTCTCTGGGCAGCCTGGGCCAGGGGCTCAGCACCCTCAGGGTCAACATTTCCTCCTTCTCTCTAGTCTAAATCTCCCTCTGTTAGTTTCAAACCATCCCCCCTTGTCCTGTCCCAACAGGCCCTGCTCAAAAGTCTGTCTCCAGCTTTCTGACAGGTCTGTTGAGGTTCTGAAATTCCACCAGCAGGTCTCCCTGGAGCCTTCAGGCTGCCCCAGCCCCACTCTCTTCTGCTGGGGTTCCCCCATCGGGTCATTGCTGGGGCTCCTCTGGCCCCACTCCAGCAGGTCCCTGTCCTTCTTGTGCTTTGAAGAGACTTGGGACCTTTTGCCAACAAACCAGGTTCCCTTTGGGGCTTTGTAGTTTCATCCAGCTCCACAGCTTTGCAGGGAGCCCACAAACAACATCCCTTGTGAACTCAGGCCCTGCTTGTGGAGCACGTGTGCTCCCTTTGCCTTTAGCTGAGCTTCCCAGCAGACAGTCAAGGCATCAAATAATTAAGAGCATATAAACAGCCACCTACTCTTTATTTTCCTTAAAGCTGACTCTGGAGCAGCACACATCCCCTGTGGGTCACATCAGCAGGGGAAGTCATTTCAGGGGAAGCCCTGAGATCTGTCAGACACCGAGTGCTTCACTACCTGGTTTTTCTTTTCACTCACCCTTCTGTCTCACTCTGGGTTAAATCAGGCAGAAATTGAAGCTGTAGATTAGTCACTGACAATGTTTATGTTCTCCCCTAGAAGCTTCCTCTGGTGGATTACTAACAGACTGATTAATAAATGTTGACTTGTGTGGTGTATCATAATCCTGGAGTTTCATCTTAGCCCTTTTCTTTAGTTTTCCCTTCCACTGAGTCTTCAGATTTCAAGATATTTTTAAGTAGACTTTTTTTTCACAAGCATCTCCCAAAAGCTTTTCTTTATCTCTTTTTTCCTTGGCTCAGCTCAGACTCACCAGAAAAGTGCTTCCCATGGAGATCACTTTGTATTCATAGACCTCTGTTGTCTGTTTTTTTCTTCCCCCTTCAGATTTCGGAGCCTCACCTCTCTTTTTCCCTTGGCTCAGCTCAGGCTCACCAGAAAAGTGCTTCCCATAGCACTTTGTATTCATAGACCTCTGTTGTCTGTTTTTTTCTTCCCCCTTCAGATTTCGGAGCCTCACCACAGCGTTTTTCAGGGATGCCATGGGCTTTCTACTCATGTTTGATCTCACCAGCCAACAGAGCTTCTTAAATGTCAGAAACTGGATGAGTAAGTAGAACCCTAGAGCTTGAGGTTCTCAGTTGGCTTGAAGCTTTCTTGTGTATTTTAGGCTTGTAGGCTTTATGCCTGTCATTGTTTGTGAGCTGGAAGATGCTCCAAGTAAGTAGTTGTGAGTTGTGCAGCTATAAGTGGGTGCTTGGAGCCTGTAATTTGGGGGGAAAGCTCCATCAGGTTGGAAAGATAGAAGGTGGAAAGATGCCTGCCTTTTTTTTTTTTCACAATAGACCATTTTGGGCACATTCTAATCTTGTTTGGATTTTAAATTTTAAGACTGGGCTTTGAGCCTCTGGTTTGCAAGCACATGATGTTTGCCATTGGTGGTTTTCCTCCAGACAACAGCTAGACTAAAAGTGAAAAAAAAAGGTTAAATTCTTAAAAGTTTGGGTTTAATTGGGGGTATTTGGAGTGTTGGAAGGACATTTCCAGCTGGCAGTTTTCCAGCAAAGAGGCTGAAGTGGGGATAGCCTGAGAATCCAGATAGCTTTGTGGAAACAGCTCCATCTTCTTCAGAGATTCCTTCCTCCCACTAAACAACCCCTGTCCTTGCAATCTTCCTCTGCTTACCAAGCTGAGGCTCTCATTTCTTCTGCATTTGCAGATGATGTGGGATGTTGTTGGTGCTTCCACAAGGTCCTCATATGAGTCTTGTAGAATAAGAGGTCTGGCTGGTGGAGGTTCTCCTCTGCTAGAGCACTGTGTTTAGTGAACCTCATTGAGGTTAAGTCTTGTGTGGTGGTAAAATAAATACTGGAAACCATTTTCTACTTAACATTTTGAAAAATTCCCCTTAGCAAGCAAATGTACACCAAGGAAATGTGTCTGGTGTGAAGGGGCTGGCTGGTTAGTCTGGGATACTCTGAGGTGGGAAGCAGGAAAGGTATTTTGGATTATTTTGTCCACAGTCTTGGTCTCTAAGACACTTGCAGCATTCTCTTAACTCCTGTTTATTTTTGCTCCTAGGTCAGCTGCAAGCCAATGCATATTGTGAGAATCCAGATATTGTCTTAATAGGCAATAAAGCTGATTTGTCAGACCAAAGGGAGGTAAATGAAAGGCAAGCAAAAGAGCTGGCAGACAAATATGGGTAAGCAAATCATGACAGGAGCTAAACTTAGTCTCTAACTGTTGTAAGTGTAGCTGGTGGCTGCCTGGAGATACTTGCAAGAGTATTTATAAACTCTAAGATCTGTGGGCCTTGCAGTGTCATGTGCACCTAGTGTGGTGTCCACCTTGTCACCTGGGAGCTGCTTGAGGAGAAAATGGAGAGAATGAAACACAGTGCTAGGTCTTGGCCAAAATATTGCAACATCAGAAATAAGATTAAACTGGAACAATCTTGCTAGAAAACTCTGTTCTTGGGCTGTTGCCTTGTCCTGAGGGTTTAGGCCAGAGTATACCAAAGGCAGAGGCACACTCAGTGTCACAAGCTAATTAATGACATTGATAACTTGCTTTTCAACTGGAAAAATAAAAAAAAACCCTAAGTTGGGTAGTGGAGGCACCTGTAGATTTTGGCCAGGTTCTAAGTGTACAGAAACACTGAATTTAGTTGATTTTCCCCTATGGAAAATAAATCTGTTGATGGCTTTTTTCTTGTTCTAGTGAGCCTTCTACATTTCTTTGTACTAAAACCACCTGCAGAGTGTCCTGCAATGGGATAAATTGGCTGATAGTTAATATAGCTGCTAAATAATGATGTAGGCAAAAAGATTGTGGAGGGTTTTTTATCCTTAGTTGCCCTTACTGGACATGGAGGGATGCTCAGAGAGAATTGGGCCAGTGGCAGAAGATGAGGAGTAATAAGGAAATTAGACTGAAAAATATTAAAAGAATATTAAAGAGTTCTCTGTGAGGAGGTCAGGAGGAGACTGACACTGAGGAGAAGGCAGCTCATGCCAGATTTTGTGGGCTGGAAGTGCCAGAGCTGTTGATAATCTTCTCTAAAGAAGTTCTTCCCCAGGAGAGTGGTGAGACCCTGGAAGGGGTTGCCCAGGGTGGTGGTTGAGGCCCCATCCCTGGGGGTCTTTAAGGCCAGGCTGGAGGAGGCTCTGGGCAGCCTGATCTAGTGGGAGGTGTCCCTGCTCATGGCAGAGGGGTTGGAACTGGGTGATCCTTGTGGTCCCTTCCAGCCCTGACAGATTCTGATCTGTTTTAGCAGAGGACTTTAGAGCCCTCATGGCTCAATGGTTGGACTGGATGATCTTAAAGGTCCCTTCCAACCTAAAGGATTCTATGATTCTAAAAGATAACTTGGAAGGCAGTATTCTGGATTCAAGGGGTTTTCAGGATGGAAACAGTGAAGGTCAGTTGTGCTTAGAAGTGGGAAGGCAGAGAGGGAGATAATGCTCACAGGGACTACTAAACAGCAGCCTGAAAAATAAAACAAGGGTTCTGTGGCCCCTGAACTTTCCTGCCATGCAGTTTTCTCTTTAAAATAAGACTTCCTGCTAACCCCAAAGACTCTCTGAGGCGAGGTTGGGTTTGGAATGTCTCCAGCAAGCCTCTCCCTTTCCCCCCCAGCATCCCCTACCTGGAGACCAGCGCGGCCACGGGGCAGCGTGTGGAGGAGGCCGTGGGCACCCTGCTGGACTTGGTGATGAAGCGCATGGAGCAGTGCGTGGGCAGCAGCCAGGGCCCCAGCACACCCAACGGGGCCAGCTCGGGGCAGCTGGGGCCAGGCCCGCCCCCGGAGGAGAGGAGGC